TTCGCATTGTTTCTTCCGTAGTGTAATTGTATTTTTATTACTCCTCATTCCGCATTTACAGTGTTTATAACCAAAAACAGCCTGTCGAGATATGCATTTCACATACCCACACCACATAAAAAAAATCTGTTTATACACTCAGTAAACTACACATCATTTCACATTCTGGGCTCTTCAGAGAGGACGAGCAACAAATCCTCTCGTCCACACACATGCTGCTGACAGAAGTAAAACAATGCCCGACCTGGAGCGCCTTTGTACTTTCCTCTGATCCGATCACTCCAGTGTCATGTATAGAAGCTTTGTTTATCCTCTCGGTCATTACTCCAAGAGGGCAGCATATGCGGTTGAGAACATGTGGAAGGCAGCCCCAACCGTGTACGGATGGATGGAGACATCACATACTGCGGGGTAACTCACATACTGCAGATATTAGTCCCTGATGAAGGCTTTTTCTTTATTTCTTCCACAGTCACGCATTCAGGAGCTTTATTCCTCCCCGCAAAGTGATCGCAGCTTCTGCCGTGTGTGTGAACCAGAGACCCTGGAGGACACTTGGTTTCAGGGAACGCTATATACCTTAATGAAATGGAAGTGATGTCATGGCATTTGGATGCAGAATGAGACACTATTGGTCTTTGTAGCTTAAAACAGAAGCAGGTGCAGTGGTTGTAAACATCCACATCTGAGAAACAGGCTCAGACATTTACAGGAGGGGGGGCGCATGCTGTGGGCCTCGATGACTCCCCCTTAAAGTTTAAACGTCCTCCTCATCTTCATCACCCCCTCCCACTTGCTCAAGGTGAATTCTCCCGATAATAATCCTGCTGTGTTCGTCTCACAACAGCTCACTCTGACTTTTCTCTGGAAACTTCAGGAGTTTTCAGGAGTTTTTTGCAAGTGTGAAAGCATTGCAAAAGAGGCTGGTTTTGCACTTTTTCTAATAGCTCATATTGATAGTTTCTCTACAATTTTTGTGGAGGCTTAATGAGACTATGGAGTACTTCAGGCCAAATCTCCAAAGGGTTTTTAAGTACCCCAAATAAAGTGCTCCTACCCGTTAAATACGTTGACTGAAAACGTTCTGGAAACTTTACACCAGCAGGGACGTTTTCAGCTCGTTCAGGGAATGTCGAATTTCAAGCTGGGTATAAGTTTCAATTAAAACAAGATGTTCAGTTGCACACACACACACATGTTTAAGTTGTACCTCTAGGCCTGGTTAGCAGGACATGGGGAAGGATTTGGAGACGCAGTGGTTAAATGTAATTAAGGATGCCGTTTGCTCACGAGTAGGATGAGAAGCAAAGGTCAGTGGATTTGATCAGAGGATTACCACTTCCTCCTTCCTGTTTGCTTCCTCTCAGCCATACAGCTGTGCTCAGATGCCAGCAAGAGAGAGAGTGCTCGCTCGCAGATAGCGAACGCTAATTACAGTCCTGTGTTTTGGGCAATTTCCTTTTCCTCTGCATCCCTCACATGTGGTTTGTCTTTGTACTCTGGTCTCCGTCTGTCTGTCTGAATGTGTGCTGTTGGGTTTGCCGCTCTTCCTCTCTCTAACTCGCCCTTCTTCTTTCAGACATCATCCCCCCGAGGACACTTTAGTCTGTGTGCCAGCTGTGTGTGGCCGCAGAGGATCCACGACAAAGACTTCTAATCAGTCACAAGGATGTTTTACTCAGAGGCAACATTTAGGGTTCAGGCGAAGCGGACTTCAACTGAAGTCAGATGGCTTTATGATCTACAGACTGTGAGAAAAACTAAAGTTCACTTTAGGCAAAATACTGAAATCTAAAAACAACACTCGGGGGCAAAAGCACATTCACAAACAGCTGCTCCCTCTGAGGTAGATTCAAGAGTTGATGATACCTCACAGACAAAATAACAATCACATCGACTGCATAAAAACCGCCTTTGCTTTAAATGCTTCTTTACTGCACATCATTACAATCTGTGAATGTTTGCACTTCCTTCCTTAATCCTCCGTCTGACACCTCAGCTTTCATCTCCCCCTCTGATCTCTCAGCCTTTGAAACGAGCAGCTCCCCACCTGCTCGTCCCGGACATCTCCAGTACACGCAGCACATGGATCTGTTGAACGTATGCCCCCACATGCTCACTTTTGTTTATAATTCCATCACTTCAGGAGAAAGGAAGCAGCGGGTTTACAGTGTTCACCAGGTAGAAAAAAAAACTAGGAAACCTTCTCAAGTTTGAAGCGTCATCTCGAGTGTGTTGCCAAGGTAACTCGCTCCAAACATGAAACTACAGCAATAACCAAAAGCATGCTCACAGACGTGCACACATACACAACCAAACAAATATTTAACACAAACACAGCAAGAGCTTGAAAAGTCTAAACAAAGACACACGGACATAAAAGTGTCTCTTAAACACACACACACACACACACACACACACACACACACACACACACACACACACACACACACAGAATGATTTATCACACCTTTTTTTGATTGTTTTTGTTTTCCTTTAAAGTTAATTATGACTAATCTTTTTGGCAAAATGCTCTCTTTACATTCCTGCCAAAAAGAAACACAAATATTTTAGGGAGGATTTTTAGGTCACACAGCACCATCAACTGATGAAAGCATGCAATTACACATTTAGAGAGGAACCTACAGTCTGCATAAAAATAGTCTCATGTATCCAGGGTGTGAAGTTTATTTGCAACAACTTGTGATATCAATGTGAAAAATGTCTCACTGTCCTCATCAGACTTTTAGCTTTTGTCCTAAACTGTGTTTTAAATATGACTTTGTTCACTGTAAAGAAAAGAATAATAAAGTGTCTCATGATCTTGTTGCTGATTTTCTGTTTATATTTTTGGTTGGGGTTTGAGTCCATGCCTTTGATTGCTACCCGCTAAGGCCGTCCGTTTTCCTTCAGAGCCCCGGTTCTCCTTAAGGCTTTATCCCGGAGCTCTTCATCAACCGTCCTCACCTTTAGCAGCAGAAAAAAAGTCTTCTCGGTTACAGCTCAACTTTTTGTCCATCACCGTTTTCTAAGAACACAGAGAGAGAGGAGTGTTTCTACTTGGTACGTTTTAATATTGTGTTTGTATGTACATGTATTTTCATGCTTGCATGTGCACATTTTGATCATACACATATATGAATGTGGATGTGTTTTTTTTATCCTTTTTTAAATTGATTCAAGTGGAAGCAGCTGAATGTTTGGCAGCACTTTGACTCCAAGACAGATTTACCCAAGGGGTAAGTGTATCGTATTGCACCATATCGTATGTCTAGTTTGTGTAAATGGTGTATGCATTCTGCAGAGACTTTGTATTTCTCTATTTAGTAGCCTCACTCTTCCTACTGTTTCTGTCCCTTTGTGATCCTCTCTTTCTAATAGTTTTATACCTTTTTGTGTTCATAATACTTCTCTTTATAGATGTTTTGCATCTCTCTTTTATCATGTTTATCTGTTTGATGTCATTGTATTTCTCTTGCAGCAGTTTTTGGTCTGTGTTTTTTTTTTTTTGTTTCTTTTGTGTTGTTTGATTGACTTTTAAAAAGAAATCTTGTGACTGAAATTATACCCAAAAAATGGCCCGTCCTCATGGATCTTACAAAGTATGCCTGTCCTTGGTTAAAAGTGGATCATAAAGCTGTAAATGTATGTTAAAGAAAAACAAATCATGTAAATACTCACTTTTTGGGATGAACGTCAGTGAGCTGCTGAAGATTCAGAACCGTGATAGCCCTTCTCTCGGTCCGTCATACAAGAACTCGTGACCCAGCCCGCTGCCACATTTCCCACAACAGACCTGAAAGATTCAAATAAAAACATGACAGCCATAGTGCTGAAGGTATTCAACATTCAGACATGTTTTTAGGAGCTCTGAGATGTATTTAAAGTTGTTATAAAGAAGGATAATATGTGACCTTTATTGTCTATCTAAACTAAAAAACAATCCAGCTGAGTATGTTTAGGCTTGTTGTGCAGTATTCTACCTTCAAGGGTCCCCATGCTTCAGGGTGTTTGGAGACACTGTCCTCATGTATCGTCTGTGAGAAGGCCGGCCAAGGAGTAGAGTGCTCAAACTTTGACGTGCTGGAGAACAACTCGTGTCCACATTCAGAACAAACATATATGCCTGTGAAGGAGAAAGAAGTGAATGAATGGATAGATAAATAAAGTAGCATGAACTTTGATTTAAATTGCAATCAAGTTAACGTCTCTTTGTTATACTCACCAGGTTGAAAGTGGTGTTTGTATTCCTCTCCTCCAGAGAACGAGCAATACGACATTTCATCCATTTCAAACGCCCGGTGTCTCCAACCTGAAGTCAGTTTGTGTGTTTTCAACAAGTCACCCGGCTACAGCTGGAACAAACCTGCATGTCCAGATCAAGTGTCAGCAGCGCGCTCCTTGTGTAAGGCATGGTGTAATACTCATTACGTCCACTAGATGGCAGCACTTACATAAACTTTGATATAGACATGCATTATGTAGTCATAAACTTACAAAAAGAGACAAATCTACATGACTCTGTAATAGAATTTGTTCAAATAAACAAAAAACTGAAAGGTTTTAATCAGAATAAATTATATTGATTGTATTAGAAATCTAAAATGTCATCAACAAACTAGAGCTGGGGAAAAAAAACAATTCAGCATAATGCCGTGATATTTTGTGTGGCGATATTATATCGATTCATGGCCGCAAAGTATCGACATTTTTATTTTAATAATAGCAGATAGGCTTTATTTATATTTGAATTACTAAGGGGTTACACAATTCATTTTGAATATGCAACGTTGTTAAAAAAATTGTTATTTAGTTATTGATTTAGTTTAATTTTGTGGACATAATATGCAGTCAAAAAAGTGAAATAGCCATGTATCATATCATGATTCTCAGCATGTTTAAAATCACAATAATATTGAATTGTGTTGTAAGTATGGCGATAATGTCGTATCGTGTGGCCTCTGTTGATTCCCACCCGACAACAAACTGTGAAAGTCGTGTTATTTGAATTAAAAAATAAACATTTATTTCAGAATTTGCATATCAGTCTGATAGCTCCATTCACAAAAGCTCCTTCAGAGTGAAAATAGGACATAATGTAACAAACCAAACACTACAGTTAAAGGTCATTATTGATGAAATAGAGGTATTCAAATATCATGAGTAGTCATTGGAAAAGGTTCACACACATCTGTTAAGAATCATTCTGACGGACTTGTGCGCTTGTTTCATTCCTTGAGAGTTGAAGGAGAAAATGATCTAAAAACTGTGGAAGGAATAATTTAAAAAGAGATAAAATTCTTTCCAAGAGATAATTATAGCTGTAATAAATAGATCTTGATATATGTCAAACTGATGATGAGTCTGTCCTGCAGATGATGCTGATGATTGCATAATAATTGTGTTTTCGACAGATCTTCTGTTGTTGCAGTCCGGTGAGGCCATCTTTCATCAGAGCCCTGGTGCTCCCTTATCGGATTTTATCCCAGAACACTTCATCCACTGTCCACACCTTCAGCTTCACAGAGAAATGTCTAAAGGTCCAGCAGCGCTTCCCTCCAACAGCTCACCTTATTGTCCATCGACCTTATCTGTGAAAAGAGGGTACAGAACTCTGTCTTGAACCAGCTGAGACTAAAACACTTCTAAATAAACAATTGTGTTACTTATAATAAACAAAGAAATTAGTCAATACTGCACCCTGAATGCTAAAAAAAACAGGCATACAGTAAAACATACTACTACAAATTACACAAAGCCATGTAACAGGATGGTGTTGTGATAGAGCCTGGCTACTAGCATACCTTTAGGGACGAACTTCAGTGAGCTGCTGAATATTCAGAAGCGAGAAAGTCCTTTGGACGGACCGTCATTCACAAACTCATGACCCAATCCATTCCCACATTTCCCACAGCGTACCTGAAACGACAAATCAAACATCTCAGTCAGGATTGTGTGTTTATTATTTTCTAGTCTTTTAAAAGGTTATAGGATGTTAACCACACAGCTGTACCAGGTGGTGTGTTTTATACCACTGTTTAAACTTGTTTTGACAGACTGGAGATTAATGTAGCACACTAACAGTGTCATTTAGATTTAAAAGGTCGATCTCTTTTCTCATGGCTGTACCTTGTATGCCCCTGGTCTCTCCTCGTGTTTAGACACACTGTCCTCTTTGACGGTCTCTGTGAACGCCGGCCAGGGGGACGAGTGCTCAAACTTGGATCTGCTGGAGAACAGCTGGTGGTCGCATTTGGAGCAGACATAAATCCCTGAGCAGGAGAGGATGGAGGGGATGATGGTTGGTGTGTAAGGGAACAAGATTGTCATACTTATATTTAGTTTACTTGCTCATCTCAGTATGTGATTTCAAACACAACACACACCTTTTCTCAAAAGACTTATACACTCTCCATGAACAAGTGTAGCAGTTGAAATGTTAGGATGATTTTAAAGACCCACGGCTGAGGAGGGTCCTAAAAATAATATGAGTTGTTTTTATTTTCATTATGCTTGTGTTTTCATGAGGCCCCAAATCCCTGACATCGCCCCTGAATACAACCTTATTAAAAATGTCCACAGCATAGATAATGTATGCCTTATATGTGCAACAACTAATGTTTGTTATCCTTTCATCATTCACAGATATGAGTTTTTATACTAACACATTTTAGACAACTTGTCATGTATGTTTAAGTGTGTGTTGTTGTGTCTTGGTTTGTTATACAACATCACGTTGTGTAACAGAATTGTTGAGTAACCTTGGCAGCAGGTTACAAAAGTTACCAAAGTTACGACTCTTTCACGATTTTCAACATCTATCCACATAGTTCAGTGAAAGTAACAACAAAACAAAACGTAATCGAAGTTATTACCGAAAAATGAAGCTGCGGGTCAAGACGTCACAGTGAATCGTTAGCTGCCGGTGACTAGCTAGTTTGTTTACGTGAACTCTACTTTTACCAAACAGTCGATAAAAACACTCGATATTTGAAGATCTGGATGAAGTGAAAGAAGGAAAAGCTTTTAAGTTACCTGTTTTGAAATGGTCTTTGTAGACCTCTCCACCGAAGAAACTACAAAACGACATGGCTCTGTTGTTTCGGGCAGTGTGTTGATTTTATCTCCGGCTCTTCTGTGCGGGTCAGGTAAAGTTTTTCTGATAAAGTAGAAATATTTTGTTTACTAGAACGGCAATATCCGGTTTGTGCGTTAGCCTTCAAAATAAAAGTGTGATCGCCGCAATACTACTTGATAAATCACCATCAAATAAACCTGACATTTTAATATCCGCTATACAGACTGCTATTATTTGTTCTTTAGTTTTTGAAAGTAATTTATTAATATCAATAAATGTGTTAATTCATTTGTGAATTAACCCCAGCTATTAATTTTGTATTTGTATTTTTTATAGGCATCCAGAAAATTTAAAGAAATCCATTTCAAAAACATTTTCATCATGTTTTTTTTTGTTTTCTTTGAGGTGAAGAAGAAAGCAAGTGATGAATGGTAAAAAAAATAATAAAATAAAATAACTACGTGCAAAATTAGGCAAGTGGGAGGAATGGTGATTTTTAAGCTATTTGTTTCTCACGTAAAATCTTGTCTTTGGGGTCTGATCGTTTGCAGTTTGACTTTATGTTGATACATTTATGTTGTTGCACTTTGAGGGAAAAACCCAGCTGACCTGAAGGCAATAGTAATTAATAATGAACAAATACAACCATACACTATATCTTTTTATACAGTTTTGGTAATAAAAACATTTGAATTATACAGGTTTCATTCATTCAAGTCTTTTTTTGGAATTTACGCTTTTATTGTGAAAGATTACAAGAGGAAGTATTTGACGGCTGCTGGCGGCTCTCGGTCTGTGCGGAATGACAGATTTGATATGTGGTTAGCTGAGTTTATCTTCCTGACATCCAGCCACTGTTGCTGATGTGTTAGTGCCCCAGAGACATGGAGACCACGATGTTACAGCTGAGGTCGTTTGTTCACAAGCGGCTCCACGCTGCGGCAGAGGAGATCCTCGGAGAGGTGGAGAAAACCGTCACGTTAGCTCTGTACGAAGCCGAAGTTAGTCGATCTAAAGAGGAGCTCGAAAGTCTGCGACACCAGCTGAGCTTACTGCGACAGAAACAAGGTTTGGGACCTTGGTTATGATGTTTAAATTCTATCTCTCATTTCCAGAATAATCCCTAAAGTATGAACCTATGCTATGAATCACGCTCCACGCTTTCCACGCATGCGTGCATTAGAGAGATTCCCCCCCCACGAAATACTGCAGAAGTTTTAGAAATGTTTTAATATTGGGTTTAATTACGCCTCTGGAAAAAGACAGTGATAGTATTGTGTTAAAGCAGCGCCATCTGTAGCCGACTGAGAAAACTACAACAATTTACCCCGGTACTTTACTCACATAATATTACAACTTTTATTCTGAAATTATTTTCTTTAATTTGCACCCAACACTGGGTTGCTTCATGCATTTTACAGTTTGTATGTTGTGTTAATTAAATGGAAAATGAATCGCGTGAAATAAAAACATGAGAAACTTTTGGATAACTTTATCTCCCGTTGCTTTTACAGCTGAGGGACCCTCACTGACCAGCAGAGAGGATTGTGATCCGCCTAATCTACATGAGAACCCAGGACCCCCAAACCCAGAAGAGCCTAACTTGAGTGTTGAGGTACCGGGACCCTCTCAAACCAGTGGAGACGGGGACCTTAACAACTGGAACTACGGCGTGGATGAGGCAGACTTTAACATTTCTGAGATAAAAGAAGAGGAAGAGGAGGAACTTTGTGATGACACCTCAACACAGGAGATTGTATTTCCTTCCCCTGAAACTGTGAAAAGCGAGCAGGATCAGCCAGAGAAAGACACAGCCTTTGACGTGCATCCAGTTTCTTTAGACTGCTCGGACGCTCAGAGGGAGAACAATGACAGTGGTGAAGAGTTTGTGAAAGGCAAAGGAGAACAGACCCAAACAATGGAGGGGAATGAGCAAACAGAAAGTAGCACCCCTATTGAGAAGAGCCATCATGGATTACCTTCTGACAGTCATGCTAAAAATGAAAAGGGACGCAGTTTTTGCCATTTGTGTGGAAAGGGCTTTCAGTACATCGGCTCTTTGATGAAGCACATAAAAGCACACGAGAACAAAACTGATTGCAGCATTTGTGGGATGACATGCAAGTCGAACGAAGATCTGAAAGCTCACTTGAAAGTTTGCCACAACAAGACGTGTTTTTGCGACATTTGTGGCAAGACTTTTGAAAGTAACCATTGTCTCCAGATGCATGAAAAAATGCACGCAGGCGTTGTAGAATTTACGTGTCAAGAATGTGGCAAAACGTTTCACAGAAAAGAGCACCTGATTGTCCATGTGAGGACCCACTCTGGAGAGAAACCGTACCACTGTGATGTTTGCGGGAAAGCCTTCAGTCAGAGCCAGAATCTCACGATTCACAAGAGAAGTCACTCGGGGGAGAGGCCGTATCATTGTGTCCTGTGCGGAAAACTTTTTAACACAGGCAGTCACCTCAAAGCACACATGAGATACCACTCAGGAGAAAAACCGTACCCCTGTGACGTTTGTGGTAAACGCTTTCGCCAAAGCGGACAGATGACGAGACATCGGACAACACACACGGGAGAGAGGCCGTACGCCTGCCACGTCTGTGGAATGAGGTACAGGTTTGCACCTAATCTTAAGGTGCACCTGCAAACTCACAAGCAGGCAGCTGCTGATTGAAGAAAATAACTGTATAAAACATGGACAAAGTCTCAAGGATGTTACCCATTGGTTTCTAAAACAGACTTTTGAATGAAGTCAGCCTAGCAACTGGCAAAGAGGGGCAGTTAAGGTGAGCCTTCTGGCAAACAGCTAGATCAGCCACGCCCCTAAGTATACCCATTCATGAATAACTTTATGGCTTAAAGGAGCAATGTATAACTCTGTCACCTAACTTTTAAAATTGGTAATGCAGTCCAAATTCAAAACATCGAAGAGAGCTGTCTCAGTTTCAGCTGGTTGGTTGCTCCTAAAGGAAGAACCGTTGAATTGTTAGTTGTCCCTCCTTTATCGCCCTTTTCAACCACACATATGCTTTCAGCCTCTGTGGATGCCTCGACCTCTGGTATGGAGATTTTTCTAGAACTTAAATGTGCCTGTTGTCAACACTCAATATGTACTCGCAAAACTGATCAAATGTCATGTTTGTACTTGTGATTCTGAGTTATGTCTTCTTAGGGTTCCAGCTTCAACATGGGGTCAATAAAGTTAGATTTTCTGTCACCACAATACTGTAGTTTGCTTATCTTCGCTACCAGATTCATGCATTTGACTCAATCCTTTAGTCAGTCTCCACATCAGTGCAGAGAGACAGCTTGCAACACCCACCAGAGGACTGCGGTGAAGTGAGCCGTCATTTGCAAAACCCCGGTGAAGCCTGCCGCCGCTTGAAAATTGATGCGCATCTATACAATGATTTACAGTACGGGTGCTTGGATCGCAAAAAAGAAGAAATGCGGCAGCGTAATTTGACAATTTGTTATTGAATATGAAATGAAAAACACAATAAAAAAATGTATTACAAAAATTGTAATGTGCAGTATTATTTTATTTTGAAAAATGTTAGACAGGTGACAAGAACCTTTCAATGGATTCTTATTCCTCAAGTCCCTGGCTGTAGTCCTGAGAATTCTCAGCAGATTTCATTTCAGATTTCAGATAATTAAAGGTAAAGTCTGCTCAAATTGCATTGAGATGCTATGATGTTTTCGTCATTTTGATTATTTTGGGGGGGGGGACATTCACAGAGGGAAACAAAACATGTATGACTATTAAAAACACAACTTGATCAGGCAGTAACAAGAAATGTTTTAGGCTAAGTCTCCTTTTTGAAGAGTTCAGTGTTCTGTTTCCCCTTCCTTGGACAACAAGGATACCACTGGCTGAAGATCTTAAGGCTTAATGTGGGCTTGTACCCCAATCCTGGTGTACAAACAACTACCGTATTTTATATATTTAGGGGCAGGGCCATTCACTGTTTATACTAGACAATTAAAGGGATTTTAAAATTCCAGTGCAGGGATTTAAGAACAGGGATCATGTGTTGAGATTTACTGGCCCAGGTTAAAATATTACATTACATTTCTGTTTAAGCTGCAATTGTTTTATGGATTTTTTTTGGTTGGTCCAGAAAATAGACTATTGCTGTAGTGTAATCTGCTTGTAACGAACGCATACATTTTTCCAATCTTCCTGCTTATATCTCGCATTTTACTGTATGTATCCTCATTTGTAGTCTTGTTGAATAGCAAGAAGAAAATAATCTATTTATTCTTGTTTTAAAAATTACAATCGTATTACATATTATACCATAGATATTCTAATAAATTAAACTTTTTATTTTATAACTCGTAGGGAATAAGCCTCTGCTCTTACAGGAACGCGTTATTTAGAAACATCGTGAGTCATCCTCCTGGATAAACGATCTTTTAAAGGTCCTCACGTCACACTTGTTTTCTTCCGCGTCAGTCGTCACATCCTCGCTCGGTTGTTTGTGTTCGTTATCTTTCGGAGAGCTTTTGTTTCGTCTACTTTTGTGCAGTAGAAGCAACAATGTTTCAGCTGAGGTCGTTTGTTCATCAGCGGCTGTACGCAGCAGCAGAGGAGATCCTCGGAGAGGTGGAGAAAGTCATGACGTTAGCTTTGTATGAAGCTGACGTTCAGCGGCTGATACAAGAGCCCGACAGTCCAAGTCCAAAACTGAACAGTCAGCGGCAGATATCAGGTTCGAGTCCCTAATATCACTGCAATAGTAGGCTAATTAAACATGTTGGCGTAGCCTATTAATAATAATCTGCATTCAGGTGTGACCAGTTGAAGTGTTAAAAAATATACTTAATGAAGACTTCGTGGATTTGAACTTTGATGTTCCGGTGTTATGGGGTAAATAGTGTCCGTTTTAACTGGTGACTTTAGGCCGAATGCGTTATGTAGCCTAGTTGTCATAGTTACAACAGATGTTATTGACGAAAAGTGTGTTAACCTGGTATTAACTACTGCCTCGTTGTTGTGTTTTTTTTTTTATTGTAGTGTTAAATATAGGCCTACACATCAGACATGTCTTAAATACAATTTAAAAAACAAAGGCATTCGTTAGGACACCTTTCGGATTCGACATCTGTATTAACTACGACAACTACAAACGCTTTCGGCCTAAAGTCTGCAGTTAACACGGTCACTTTTTCAACCATAACACTAGTGACTACTTTTTCATTGAAAAGACGACTATGGCATCAAAACTAGTTTAATGGTACAGGTTTTTCTACGACCATGTGAAGACATTGATGACTTGTAGCCAATGTTTAGTTGTAACCGGTGCTACAGTTTAAAGAGTGACTGTGGTCCTGACCTTCAGCTGAACTCGTTTGTGGTTGTCATAGTAACAATATGTGTTAAAGATGGAGGGTGTCCTAATGGATGCCTCTTTGTTTAGTTTTTAATTTATTGTAATATCAAAATACTGATCAGATGAACTATTACTTTATTGAACAGCTAAACAAAGAATATTAGTTTGGATACTTTCCATCTGTAACATCTGTTGTAACTATGACAACCACCGTATTCGGTAGAAAGTTTCCAGTCAATACGGTTAACAGGAGAAAAACTGCTTCTGTCACACCGAGCGATTTTCAAGACGCATCTCCTTATCAGAGATGCTGCTTGTCAACAGGCAAAGGCAGGCAACTGCATGGGACCCCTGGCCAGCAGGGGTCACGGAGGGCTGACAAACTGAACCATAAAACCAACTAAAACCATCGCAGTGACTCAGAATATGCAAATTTTACAACGACAGTAGGAAGCCTCCCAAATGGGGCCCCTTCTGACTGACTGTTGTTGTGCTGCTAACCTTTTAAACCTGTGAAAAGTTAAGTAGATCCAAACCCAATATTCTGTTTAAGATTTAGAAAAAACATTGACAAAAAATGTTCAGATAAAAAATATGACTCAAACCGTTATCTTTAATGTAAATTATTAATCTCCTCTAAATATATTTAAATCTACTTTTGATACAGCTCTTATTTTAGATATTCAATCGATTAACATTTGCTTCCATGTCTTTTGCTTCTACAGAACCTCCACTGATCAACAGTGATGTGGCCGAAGAGGAGTCACTGCAGAAGATCTCATCACAACCATCGACACAGGAAGAGTCTTACTTGAGTAAGGCCGAGGTCCCGGGCCCCTCTGAAACCACGGAGGAAAGATGCGTTGTCCAGGTTCACTTTGGGATAAAAGAGGAGCAGGAAGAACATGGATACTACAGCCAAACACAAGACGTCATGTATCCCTTTGAGGAAGTAGCAAAAAGAGAAGAAGATCAACCAGAGACTGAAGGTTTTGATGAAATGCAGCTAGTTACATCGGACGGCTCTGAAGCTTTCAGCGACAACAGAGGAAGTGATGAGGAGAGGGTTAAGAGAAAAGAAGCATCGATGAACGTGAACATTTCTGCTCAGAGGGAAAAGGAGCGTCTTGTCTGTCCCACATGTGGAAAGGGCTTCTGGTACATTTCTCCCTTTGTGAAGCACATAGAGACACACAAGAAAAGTGAGTCTGTCAGGGCGCTTGTACGTAATTTGCAGAGTTCTAACGATAAAAGTTTTTGTTGTCGCGTTTGTGGCAAGACGTTTTCCACTGCAGGCGGCCTTAAAGTGCATTCAAAGATACATGCAGGGATAAAAGACTTTAAATGCCAATATTGTGGGATTACCTTCGTCCAAAAGGGGAACCTTATTTCACACCTAAGGACCCATTCAGGGGAGCGACCGTTTCAGTGTGATTTATGTGGGAAAGCTTTTGGCCAGAAACAGAACCTGACAGTACACAAGAAGAGGAGACACCCGGGGGCGACACAGAATCTTTGTGGATCGGGTGTGAACGATTTCACCGTGGTGTTTCCTTAAAAAGACACAAGAAGATTGTTAAGGAGAAAACTCTTTTGCTGTGAGATCTGTGGCATATATCATTACTTTTTTTTTTTTTTTTTAAACCTTGAGTTCACATACATGAATGTAATTGTTCACATATTTGGTTTTGTTCTACGCGGGGCAGGCCATGTGCAACTTCCAGATCAACGCACCAACACGCAGTAACAGTCCCTGACTTGTTTCCAGTTAGTTTTGCAGTTTTCTGTGTCAGCTGCTGAAATGAAACGTATTCGTCGCCAGCTATTTGAGAAGCATGCTTGTGGCATATTGAACAGATGTGGATAGTGTGGACTTGGTCAACGGGTTTATCTTCAAAACTTTCTGCCATTGTTGTCCCTCCTCCTCTACACTGCCCCTACTGCTCATGTGCATACACTGCAACCTTGCAGCCATGTAGCGTACATTTTTGAGGATGTGCAAAGCAGATGCTTCAAACCGACTCAGGGCCAGGAGGCAGCCAGCTAACTTCCAAGGCAGAAGTTAAAAGCATTTATTTATCTCCGGCCTGACAGAAAGTTGGTCAGACATAATTATGCACAGATGGTAGGTAGCACTGAGTAACCTTTCTATGTATGGATAAATTCATGCTGTTACAAAGTCAAATAACATTGATTGCATTTTCTACAAATACACCAATTTAAAAAAAAAAAAAACAGATGTCAGGTTGCAATCTAAAATCTGAACAACTTCAGAGTCTCACAACAATGCCCTAGTGGTTAGTTCGCAAAACTAATGTACAGAGGCTGCAGTCCTCAAAGCAGGCGGTCCAGTTTTGAATACAACCTGCAGCTCCTTTGCCGCATGTCATTCCCCTCTCTCAATGATTTCCAACTCTATCCACTGTCCTGTCTCTCCAATAAAGGCTTAAAAGAAGAATTGGTTGGTTGCTTATAATTTAGGTTAAACTAACTTTAACTTCCCTCTTAGCAGAGTAGTTAGAGGCTTCTTTCAGCATAGTAGACAAAAAAATAGAACTACACTGGCTATCTTAAAATACAGATTGATTTCTGTTGGTCTATTCAACAATTTTAATTAGCTTCTGTTCAACTTTCAAGTAGCCAATTAAATAACGTTGCCTGTACCTCGTTTATACCTGCAGAACCTCTACTGACAGCAAGGACTTTGAATGGAGATGAGGAGCTGCAGGAGAGCTCAACACAAGAGGAGTCTTACTTGAGTCAGGTGGAGGTCCCGGGCTCCTCTAAAACCCCCAAAGAAAGATGCTCTGTCCACATTGGCCTTGAAATGAATGGAGAGCGGGCAGAACATGGACATGACCGCCAAACACAGGAGGTGAGTTACCCTTCTACTGAAACGGAACAAGGTCAACCAGTGAACGAAGCTTCTGCTGAAATGCAGCCAGTTTCTTCAGACGGCTCTGAAGCTGAGAGTGAAATCAAAGGCAGTGATGAGGAGGGGGTGCAGAATGAAGGAGCACAGAAAAAGATGAGACTAAGAAGTCAAAGTGACCTTCATGTTTGTCCGACGTGTGGAAAGGGCTTCCGGTACATATCTCCCTTCGTGAAGCACTTGAAAAAACACAAGAAGATCAATGGTCCAACAAGGAAGCTTCTAGAGGATTTGCAAAGTCCTCACAGCAGAAAGGTTTGTGATGTTTGCGGCAAGAAGTTTTCCACTTCCTATTGTCTGAAAATTCATTCAAAAATACATGCAGGGATTAGAGACTTTGAATGTCAAGACTGTGGGAAAACCTTTTACCAAAGAGGGAATCTGATGATGCACTTAAAGCGCCATTCAGGAGAGAGGCCGTACCAGTGTGACATCTGTGGAATTTCTTTCACCCTGAAACATAACCTCACAGCTCACAGGAGGAGACACACGGAGAGAGACCGGACCGTTGTGGATCCGTTGGGAAACAACACAAATGTTCCTGTTTAAATGTGTATCTACATTTGGAAGTTGAATAAATGTCTGTCTTAACTGTCATGGATACACTTCAGGGATAAATAAGGTATTCAAATATGGCTCTGAATAAAAAATATAGCAAGTATTTTAGTCAATCCCCATGACTGTATGATATTAGAAATCTTAGTGATTTCAACATCAATACAGTTAATGTATTTACCAGTTCTTAGTCAAATATCATACATGTTCTGTGGTATTCCTGAGAGGTCAAGTTTTAACATGGGGACAATAATGTTTAATATTATGTCAACACATAACTGGAGTTTCTTTCCAAGACCAAACATCACATTCAGTATAGAGACACAGTGCAGTGCACTTTGAACTTCAACTTAATTCCTCTGATGGGCATAGTTTAAATAAATATGTGTTAACAGGTTTACCTATTAAAATACAAAATAAATGTAGCCATATCAGAGGTTTTTTTTTAGTGCACAATAGAGAATAAAACATCCTCCTACAGACTGCTCACATTTGACTGCCTGTATCCACATTTGTAGTTTTTAGTTGTCTTATACATCAAATAAAAAGGGGCAGGGGTATCTAGCTATTAATAACTTAACTGATATTTTTACTGGAATTACTAAGAGGGACAAGCACTTTCATTTCACAAACTAGAAAACACAATATCAAACTAGTCTTACATATGGGAAGAAGAGTGAGTCGTCATCTTCAATACACGATCTTTTAATGGTCGTCCCGTCAGATATTTACTTCCGGGTGAAACCCCGCACTGAACAGCTCGATTGTTTGAGTCCATTATCTTGTGAGCAGTTTTATTTCATCTATTTTTGTGCTTTTTGGAAGCAACAATGTTTCAGCTGAGGTTGTTTGTTCATCAGCGGCTGTGCACAGCAGCAGAGGAGATCCTCGGAGAGGTGGAGAAAGTCATGACGTTAGCTTTGCACGAAGCTGACGTCCAGCGGCTGAAACAGGAGCCCGACAGTCAACTTCCAACAGTTACCTGTGTGCTGCAGATATCAAGTTCAGGTAAAAGTGTCGTGGAAAGTTACGAAAATACTATTGCTGATTTCAACTTTACTGTTGTGAAATCGTCTTAAATTGAGAATAATAGCCTTTTTTTTTAAATATTAATGGGGGCGCCGGTGTTACGGTTTAAAATGTGACCGTGTTTACTGTCGACTTTCAGTCAAGTGAGTCGGTGGTTGTCATGGTTACAACAGAGAAAGACGGAAAGTGTCCTAACAGATTCCACTTTTTTTTTTCCATTAGAGACATATATGATGAGTATTTATGACACCATTATATAAACTAAACATAGAAGCATTAATTGGGACACTTAACTTCTTCAACATGTGTTTTAATTTTTCAGTTAACATGATCACCCTTTAAACCGTTACACCGGTGTCACAGGGAAAGCTTGAGACTAATCAGAGATTGTTGGAATAAGTTACAAGCAGTCTGCAACTGCAAGAGAGCTTGACTTTGTTAAGGCAAAGAAGATTATAAAACTGTATCATCAGCATAAAGATGAATTTTACAATTTTCCATTTTATCATTAATGTCATTAATACACAGTGAGAATAAAAGTAATCCCAGGATGGATCCCTGGGGTACTCCTTATTTAACAGCCCCAGGGATAAATTGAAGTTTTACAGTAATTAACTTTTGCCTTCATCTCATTTATATCCACAGAACCCCCTCTGACAATCAGTGCTCTGAATAGAGAGGAAGAGCTGCAGGGAACCTCATCACAACCATCGACACAAGAAGAGTCTAACTTAAGTCATGCTGAGATCCATACTGACCTCTGTATTAAAGATGAGCAGGAAGAACATGAACATGACCGCCAAACACAGGAGGTTATTTATCCTTCTACTGAAACGGAACAAGATCAGCCAGTGAATGAAGCTTCTGCTGAAATGCAGCCAGTTTCTTCAGACGGCTCTGAAGCTGAGAGTGAAATCAAAGGTGGTGGTGAGGAGGTGGTGCAGAATGAAGGAGCACAGAAAAAGATGAGACAAAGGCCTGATGGAAAATCTTTTGCTAGAAGTCAAAGTGACCTTCATATTTGTCCCACGTGTGGAAAGGGCTTCCGGTACATTTCTCCCTTCTTGAAGCACATGAAAAAACACAAGAAGATCAATGGTCCAACAAAGAAGCTTCTAGAGGATTTGCAAAGTTCTCACAGCAGAAAGGTTTGTGATGTTTGCGGCAAGAATTTTGCCCATACCTGGGGTCTGAAAATTCATTCAAAAATACATGCAGGGATTAGAGACTTCAAATGTCAAGACTGTGGGAAAACCTTTTCCCAAAGAGCGAATCTGATGATGCACTTAACGAGCCATTCAGGAGAGAGGCCGTACCAGTGTGACATCTGTGGAATTTCTTTCACCCTGAAACATAACCTCACAGCTCACAGGAGGAGACACACGGGAGAGAGACCGAATCGTCGTGGATCAGTGGGGAAACAATTACAAACACACACACAAAAAAGATGAATTAGCCTGTCCCCTGTGAGAGCTGTGGTTAAACATTTTGTCATGAGAGAAAGTAGGTTCGACATAATTATCGACACACAGTAAACACACATTGGTACAAGGTCGATTGACACAAGTCTTGAATTTGATTGTGCGATTTTCAACAAATATATATTTTTTGTTACAAATGTTCCTGTTTAAATGTGTATCTACATTTGGAAGTTGAATAAATAAAAAATCTGTCTTTACACTTGGATACCCTTCAGAGATCAACAAGGTGTTGAAATACGGTTCTGAATAGAAAATATACCACTTGTTTTTTATTTCGTTTTTTTCTTATTGTTGGAATATCCTGCTCGTCCACAGCTGTTAAATTTGGAATAAACACATTTGGCAGATCACAGATAAAGTCTAGTGCAGATTAGAATCAACAAAATTAAAAATCATGAATAAATAAAATAAAATAAACGCTTTTCAAGCATTGTATACATTTCCATAGCAGGTATTTTATGATCGGCCTGTTTCCAATGAATGTATGATATTAGAAATTTTAGTGATTTCAACATCAATATAGTTCATGTATTTACCAGTTCATAGACAAATATCATGCATTTTATTTTGTATTACTAATAAAATACAAAATAAATTGTATTACTGAGTAAACTCCTTAGAATGTTTAATTTTCTGTCAACGCATAACTGGAGTTTCCTTCCAAGACCAAACATCACATTCAGTACAGAGACACAGAGTGCAGTGCACTATGACTTTCCTCAAAATTGTAATCATCTGATGGGCATCGTTTCAAACTAAATATGTTTATGGGTTTACCTATTAAAATACAAAATAAATGTAGCCATATCAGAGGTTCTTTTTTAGTGCACAATAGAGAATAAAACATCCTCCTACAGACTGCTCACATTTGACTGCCTGTATCCACATTTGTAGTCTTTTAGTTGTCTTATACATCAAATAAAAAGGGGCAGGGGTATCTAGATATTAATAACTTAACTGATATTTTTACTGGAATTACTAAGAGGGATAAGCACTTTCATTTCACAAACTAGAAAACACAATATCAAACTAGTCTTACATATGGGAAGAAGAGTGAGTCGTCATCTTCAATACACGATCTTTTAATGGTCGTCCCGTCAGATATTTACTTCCGGGTGAAACCCCGCACTGAACAGCTCTATTGTTTGAGTCCATTATCTTGTGAGCAGTTTTATTTCGTCTATTTTTGTGCTTTTTGGAAGCAACAATGTTTCAGCTGAGGTTGTTTGTTCATCAGCGGCTGTGCACAGCAGCAGAGGAGATCCTCGGAGAGATGGAGAAAGTCATGACGTTAGCTTTGCACGAAGCTGACGTCCAGCGGCTGAAACAGGAGCCCGACAGTCAACTTCCAACAGTTACCTGTGTGCTGCAGATATCAGTTCAGGTAAAAGTGTCGTGGAAAGTTACGAAAATACTATTGCTGATTTCAACTTTACTGTTGTGAAATCGCCTTCAATTGAGAGTAATAGCCTTTTTCTTTAAATATTAATGGGGGCGCCGGTGTTACGGTTTAAAATGTGACCGTGTTTACTGTCGACTTTCAGTCAAGTGAGTCGGTGGTTGTCATGGTTACAACAGAGAAAGACGTAAAGTGTCCTAACAGATTCCACTTTGTTTTCATTCAAGACATTTATGATGAGTATTTATGACACCATTATATAAATTAAACATAAAAGCAAACCGTTACACCGGTGTCACAGGGAAAGCTTTAGCTTGAGACTAATCAGAGATTGTTGGAATAAGTTACAAGCAGTCTATGGCTGTGAGAGAGCTTGACTTTGTGAATGCAAAGAAGAGTATAAAACTATCATCAGCATAAAGATTAATTCTACAATTTTCTATTTGATCAATAATGTTATTAATGCACAGTGAGAATAAATGTAATCCCAGGATGGATCCCTGGGATACTCCTGTGATGATAGCCCTTACTATCAATTGAAGTTTTACAGTAATTAACTTTTGCCTTCATCTCATTTATATCCACAGAACCCCCTCTGACAATCAGTGCTCTGAATAGAGAGGAAGAGCTGCAGGGAACCTCATCACAACCATCGACACAAGAAGAGTCTAATTTAAGTCATGCTGAGATCCATACTGACCTCTGTATTAAAGATGAGCAGGAAGAACATGAACATGACCACCAAACACAGGAGATGATTTTTCCTTCTACTGAATGGGAACAAGATCAGCCAGCGATCAAAGCTTCTGCTGAAATGCAGCCAGTTTCTTCTGACGGCTCTGAAGCTGAGTGTGAAATCAAAGGCAGTGATGAGGAGGGGGTGCAGAATAAAGGAGCACAGAAAAAGATGAGACGAAAGCCTGATAGAAAATCTTCTGCTAGAGGTCAAACTGACTTTTGTGTTTGTCCCACGTGTGGACAGGGTTTCTTGTCCATTGCTCCCTTCGAGAAGCACATGAAAATACACAAACAGGAGCCTGACAGTCAACGTCCAATACCGACCTGTGTGCTGCAGATATCAAGTTCAGGTAAAAATGTTGTGGAAATTTACAAAAATGCAATTGCTGATTTAACCTTTACTGTTTGGAAATCGTCTTAAATTGAGAATAATAGCCTTTTTCTTTCAATATTAATGGGGGTGCTGGTGTTACAGTTTAAAGTGTGACCATGTTTACTGTCGACTTTCAGTCATGTGAGTCTGTGGTTGTCATAGTTACAACAGTGAATGACCGAACGTGCCCTAACGGATGCCACTTGTTTTTGTTTTTCATTAGAGACATATATGATGAGTATTTATGATACCATTATATAAACTAAACATAGAAGCATTAATTGGGACACTTAACTTCTTCAACATGTGTTTTAATTTGCCAGTTAACATGATCACCCTTTAAACCGTTACACCGGTGTCACAGGGAAAGCTTTAGACTAATCAGAGATTGTTGGAATAAGTTACTAGCAGTCTGCAACTGCAAGAGAGCTTGACTTTGTTAAGGCAATAAAGTGTATACAACTGTATAATACAATGTAATACACAGTGAGAATAAAAGTAGTCCCAGGATTGATCCCTGGGGTACACCTGTGATGATAGCCTGGGCTATTAATTGAAGATTTACGATAATTAACTTTTGCCTTCATCTCTTTATATCCACAGAACCCCCTCTGACAACCAGTGCTCTGAATAGAGAGGAAGAGCTGCAGGGAACCTCATCACAACCATCGACACAAGAAGAGTCTAACTTCAGTCAGGCCGAGGTGCAGACTGACCTCTGTATTAAAGATGAGCAGGAAGAACATGAACATGACCGCCAAACACAGGAGGTTATTTATCCTTCTACTGAAACGGAACAAGATCAGCCAGTGAATGAAGCTTCTGCTGAAATGCAGCCAGTTTCTTCAGACGGCTCTGAAGCTGAGAGTGAAATCAAAGGTGGTGGTGAGGAGGTGGTGCAGAATGAAGGAGCACAGAGAAAGATGAGACGAAAGACTGATAGAACATTTTCTGTTAGTGGTCAAACTGACCTTCATGTTTGTCCCATGTGTGGAAAGGGTTTCTGGTTCATTTCTCCCTTGGTGAAGCACATGAAAAAACACAAGAAGATCAATGGTCCAACAAAGAAGCTTCTAAAGGATATGCAAAGATTTCTCAGAAGAAAGGATTGTAATGTTTGTGGCAAGAAGTTTACCACTACCCATTGTCTGAGACTTCATTCAAAAATACATGCAGCAATTAGAGACTTTAAATGCCAAGTCTGTGGGATAACGTTTTGCAAAAGACGTAATCTTATTAGTCACTTACGGACCAAACGACACAAGAGGAGACACGAGGAGGATATCCTAAATCGTTTTGGAACAGGGCAAAAACGATTGTGGAAGTGTTCTTGTGCAAGATACTGAACCCTGAGTTGCAACAGAAGGCATAGCCATCTGTGTGTGAATGTGACTAGTACTGTACTAACTCTCAGATGGATGTCACTTTTGATAAAAGGGTCTGCTAAAAGAAATTCTAACATTGTTAAATTGTTAAAGATCTATCCTGTCTTTAGTGAAGTTTATACGGCTGAACAAATACATTCACAGAAGTCTCTTTACAGAAAATAAATCAAATAGGCTTTGAATGCATTTCAGCATTTGACATTGTCCTGCTGGTGTTTGTCTAATATAATGAGGAACTGTACATCTTTGAGTTGAATTCCTGGCTTCAAACATAGCAAGACACATAAATACTTCAGTATTTATTGTCACACTGTAGGAAATACAAATAAATAATGACAATAATGTCTAGTCACAGCTCTAAATGTGACTTTTTTTATCATCTCTGAGGAGTCATATTCTGTTGTGGAAATATCCATTTTCAGTACATTTCCATTTGACCAAATGTTAGTAGGCCAGTCAATGGGTAGACATTTTTACAGCAGGCTATCAATGATGTATTTCACTCATTTAATCAACCACAATTATGTTTGACTGTAATCTACTGTAAATCCTCAGTAAATCATTTCAGATGGACGGGAACACCAGAATAAAACATTTCAGGACAAAATAAAGGTTTTTTTTCGAAAAAATTAGATGTTTTCAGAAACGACTGCAAAAGATCCCGTTAATGGATCATCATCCTGAAAGTATGATCTTTGGAAGCACAGTCTTTACATCCGTACCCGCTGTCACAGCCACAAAGCGGCTGAAGAAGCTCAATGACACTCAGAACTGTCTCCTTTTCGACTGTACGTTTTTATATAAATTATTTTTCGTCCACATTTGTGCACTTTAGAAACAACAGTGTTTCAGCTGAGGTCGTTTGTTCATCAGCGGCTTCACGCAGCAGCAGAGGAGATCCTCGGGGAGGTAGAGAAGATGTTAGCTTTGTGCGAAGTAGACATGCAGCGAGCAAAAGAGAAACCCGACGAGCGTCCAAAACTAGGTATGTGATTTTTTTATCTTCTCATTAAAGTTTAAACTGTTTCGGATAATAGTAGATAGCTGAAAGCACACAAACGAGCGTGTTTCTGTAGTGTAGGATACTTGCATAATGTGGTGGACCAGACATAAACATTTATTCTGATAAGAAAAGAAGCATATCAGCATCCAGCCACGTTTGTGGTAGAAATAAACTCCAGAAATGGCTGAAACAAAGAAGTAATTTAACTAACTGTGGTTAAGTGAGCTTCCCCACACAGAATGCATATTAAACAACATATCGAGTTTAATCATCATTAAAGTGTTTGATATTAAATTTAAAGGTTCTCTCGAATACTCTATTTTAATAAAAAGCACTTTAACCACGTAAAACTAACTTATTTTTAACGTTTTTCAGAGGAACAGCTTCTGGGTCTCACCCCGTCACACGTCCGCAGTGTCCCCAGTAGAGGGCGCTCACGTTACACGTAAAATACCAGTGCCAGGTTAAAGCTTATAAGATTTATAAACAGTATTATAAACCAAATATTTAATTTACGATACGGTATGTGTCATTATGCCTCGTTCACAACACGATTTGATCACAAATTATTTAGGATTATCTAATCGTCATAAAGACGTGTTAAATTCAATTTATGAATAAATGTGATTCTTTTAAATTAGAATTCTCTTAAGATAAAAACGATTTTTCTTAACTTATTTTAATTTATAAATGTAAGTATTTTTTGAGGTTCTATTGGTACTAATGAATTATAAAAAAAAAACTGTTGTTTCTTTATAAAAAGTGACAGAGATTATATATTACTAAAATACCTTTTTGAAACTTTAGTTTTAGATAAAATAATTTGAAGATTTATCCTTAATCAAAATAATTACATGAATAGCACAAAAAGGTATAGTCTCTTTAAATAAACAGAGTTGCTGCCTGTTTCTGACTGAAGCACAGAAAACTTTTAAGATAGAGGAAGTTAGATGACTTGGGGGCGGATGCATCTGGCTGTAGACATTCTTCCTGATGTGTTTGTGGATGATCTTTGACAAACATTCGCTGTTTGGATCTGTTATTTCTGTCTTTTAATGTCTAATCATGTATTTTTGTGAAACTCTGTTCATTGTGCTGCTGCCTGACTTGGCCAGGACTCTCTTGAAAAATGTATTTTTAATCTCAATGAGTTTCTTTCCTGGTTAAATAAAGGTTAAATAAAAAAAGATATCGGATTTTCTTTATGCGTGACCTAATTTAAGTGGTCATTTGTGTTTTTAAAAATAACAAAAGGCTTTTACGTGTTTATCATCAGCCCAAATCCTTCAGACCCCTCCTGAGTCTGCACGTTGTCATCTCTGGCTCTACACATGTTAATGTTAATAGTTTGTTTTGGTGTCTTGAGCTTTGCAGCGTGGGGTGGTTGTAAAAGCTGCATCATGTCTGTTGTATTTATGTAGTCAGTCCATCTGTCTCCTGCAATATTTGCGCACTGTTTCCGTCTCCTACACATTCTAAAACGAAACAAAATCACATGCTCCCTTCATGTCTGCATGCATCTTGTTTCAGACAAACAAGAGAAGCCTAAAGCTGTTGGCGCCCTCTGCTAGTTTAAAAAAAGAGTTGTAATATTTTCCTTATTGTCTGTGTTTACAGAAGTCACTTTAACCCTGCAGGAGATCTCAACTCAGGAGCAGTCTTATTTGAGTGCCGCTGATGTCCCAGGTTTATGCCAAAGCTATGTACAAAACGGTTTTGTTCAGATGGGCTTCAGGATAAAAGAGGAGCAGAAGGAATGTGTGGTCGACGGTGACACACATGAGGTGTTTTTTCCTTCTCCTGCAGCTGTGAAAAAGGAACGAGATTTGTCAGAGATCCAACCTTCAGTGGAAGAAGAGTCTAATATGAGTAATGATGAGGTCCGAGCCTCCTCTAAGGCTTTTGAAGGAAGATGCTGCATCCAGATTGACTTTGGGGTGGAAGAACATGCAGATGAAAGTGAGACAAATGAGGTTGTTTTACCTCTTATTGAAGCTGTGAAATGGGGACGAAATCAACAAGGGGCAAAAGTTTGCGATGAAATACAACCGGTTTCTTCAGACGGCTCTGAGAGTGAGAGCGATGACAGTGATGAGGAATGGGTTAACAGGAAAGGAACACAGAAAAAGACGAAGAGAGGAAATGATTTTGCCAAGTGTAAAAAGGACCGTCATGTTTGTCCTTCTTGTGGAAAGAGTTTCAGGTTCATCCATCACTTCAGAAAGCACATCAAAACTCACACCAAGCCTAGTGACTCTCAAATGGAGCTTCTTAGTCGTTTGCAGAACGCGCACGCAAACAAAGTAATTTGTGATGTTTGCAACAAGATGTTCACCGCAACCGCTGGTCTGCAAATACATTTAAAGTCGCACAGAAGGATGAAGGACTTTCAATGCCAAGACTGTGGTAAAAGCTTTGTCCAAAAAGAGCATCTGAATGTGCACATGAGGACCCACTCAGGGGAGAGGCAGTATGAGTGTGATGTCTGTGGGTGACGGTTTTACACACGGGGTCATCTCAAATCACATGAAGAACGTTTCAGGGGAAGAAAGCTCTGCTCGTGATGTCTGTGGTAAACGTTTTTGCCAGAGGGCACAGTTAACGGAACATAAAAAAATCGCACCCACCAGGAAACATGGAGTAACCTTCATGAAGTTTTTAAAACCTTTTAAATTTCTTACGATTTCCACCAAAGACCAGTTAAGAGAATACAGCTGTCTGAATGTTTTGAACCTTAATGTCTTTAAATGAAGATTGTGACTTCAAGATGACTACAAACAGGTTCATCCAATAAAGACAGACATATGCTAAACTCTGGAGCTATCATGTTTCATTAGCAACAAAAGGTGTTCCACAGGAATCCATGTTTGGTCCACTTCCTTTTTCATCTTTATATACATATTGGGGGTTTTCGGACCAAACCGTTCTGGTGACTTTTTTTGAAGAGGAACTTTCCACTCGGGGAGTTCCCTTAGAATTAAACACCATGGGGACTTGTTTTGGTCTGCATTCACACCTCCACGGTACCTACTCTGAAGCAGGAGTTTAACAGGTTCTAGGAACTAAAATAAAAACTCAGAGCTAGATCCATAAAAATGCACATTTTACTGACACATTATATATATATATATATATATATATATATATATATATATGCTCCTATCTCTGGAACAAAACACAGCCCCTTAAAATCAGTTCACTACATTTGAACATTTCAGTCATTTGACCAGCAGGTAGCAGCAGATACACACCTACAGTCCTTTAGAAGGTCACAGGTGTCTGTAACATCAGCCAAAACCTCTACTTCCTCGATTCTGTCTACTATTACCTCTTTGTTCTGTCAACATGCATCTGTATTGATATAACTGAGCCTCTGGTTGGCCAACATTTGCTGGCTGATTATTGGACAAGGGGCCCTGAGAACAAACACTTCATCAGCCCCCAAAGTGCAAGATGAGTTATTTTGTGTCTGATTGTGGTCATTTTCATATTGTAGTAGTCTTGATTGTCTTTGTGTTCGTTTTATGTTCTTGTGTTGGTTTTTTTTTAGCCATTTTTCTATTTGTTTTTATGTGACTAATTGTACTTGTGTCATGTCTTTGGTTTCTGTCTCCATATTTTTTTTCTCTTTGTGGATGTGTTGCACGTAGTTGTAGATATTTTGTTCCTTTTTGCATTTGTCTTCAATCTCTTTAGACATTTTCTTTATCTATGTTGTTGTTTTGTGTCTCTCCTAAAACACAGTGACTTTAAGAAATGGCTCTGGTAATAGGCGGCCCCTGATCCTTTGGGCCCCTGGACTTATTCTCAGGAGGGCCTGTTAAACTATCAATCAATAAGGAAATAACCGGTTTAAACATGCAACAACATAACATAGTAATTATCTGTAGCAACGCAAAACATAACTGGATCATATTTAAGCTTCTGTAAATCCAGACGTTTAAATCAGTCCATAAAATGCAGTTCAGCTTGCAGTGAAATGTCAGATCATTCAGGGCTGCAAACACTTCTGATGCTTCTGTTTAAAAATAATATGGAGGGAGCAATAATGCATGCACAGTATAAACCCTGTACATCCTTTTTAGAGCTACAGCAACAGGTCTCCTCAGTTCCCAAAGACTTGCAGAGTGTTGTTGTTTTTAAAGGAGAAGCAGCAGGGAGGTAAACCTGAGCATGTCCCAACTTTTTAAAAACGT